CTTGTTTGGCTCAATACTGCAAGAAAATTATAAACGACTATAACTCAGATAAGTAAAGAAAGAATCATTTTTTTTTCTACATTTGCATTTCATGCGACCACCTATAGCACAAAACCCTTCTCAAGAAAAGTAAGTTGCTAAGCTTAATTACTCTATCTAGTATCGTGTAGGCTAACAAGACAACTAGACTAACAAATACCCAAAATTTTCTTAGAGAGATGAGGAAAATATAAGCCTTTCTATTAAGTAACGAATGAATTTTTTTTTTCTTTTATTATTTTTTGCAGTTGTTTTTTAAAGATACTAGATAATCAATGAGTTAGATGTACACCTCTAACGTAGAATATTGATTATCGAGTACAAACTAGCAATTTTAAAATGAGAAGTACAAAGTGATGAAATTGAGTGTCGGTGTCAAGGCTGAATAACCATTGTAGCATATCAACTATCAAATATGGATACTATGTGTTGACTACCGAGTATGTTGACCGACTACAAATTGTAAAGTATCAACTATCAAGTATATCTATCAATTGTCGACTATTGACCATCAAATACTAACTGCTGAATATCAAGCATTGAGTACCTAGTGCTAGGTATCGAGTGCCTTGTGCCAATTATCGAGTATCGATTTTCAAGTGTTGAGTGCAAAGTATAACTGCAGAGTAGCGAGTACCGACTATAAACATATCTAGCTACTCACCTTCTATCATTTATTGCTTATTATATAGCATTTAGTATAGTGATCAAGACCCTAGATTCTTCTATTAATATAAAGATCTTGGGGAGAGCTGAGAAAACTTTTCTGGGCCTTCAGGATTTTTCTATGGTGATTTTTTTTTTCGAAGGGTGGTTTCCTTTCTATATATCTCTCATTTTCTTCTATGGCTTAGGCTTTTGACCCTTTCTTCACTTATTGGGGGGTCATCTTTATGCTATATTTTATGGATTTGAGATACTGGGTAATTTTACTTTATTTGTTTTCATTTTTTTCATGTCTCTCCTCTTCGACACTTGTAAGATTTGAGCACAACTCAGGTAAATGATGACTTAACATTAGGTATCTTGAATATGTCTGTGGTCTAGCCTAAGGTTTGGAGGAGAATATTATTTCTCAGACACAAATTGAATCTGTACATTGTATAATTTAGTGCACATTTTCTAATAATAATAAAGAAAAAACCTTTAGGTACCTGACAAGAAATTTCTCAATCTACACCTAATTTTTGACGTCAGCTAATTTTTTGTTTAATCCTATATTGAATTCATCAGTGCAAGCAAGCGGGAAACATGTTATTTGTTTTAGAGGGTTGGTGTTTATAAGTAGAATGAAATAGTTGATTTAATGTAAAGAAATTCTTGTATAATCAGAAGTGAAATTTTGCAAATCAAATTTTGATTAATTAAAAAATAACTAGATTAAAAAAAGGTAATTGCTATTAGAAGAAAAAAATGTAAGCTTAGTCAATGGGTAAAAGTAATTGGTTTCGCTTGGGATTTGTTATCGCTCTTTTTCTGATGGTTATTTTGAAGCACTTTTTTCGCTTCCTCCATAAAGCAATCAGATATTAATTTTTGTGGAAATCATACCCTCTAATCTCAAAAATTGATTGAGAAGAAATACGATCCAGAATAAAATAGAATGGCAATATTTGCTAAAGAATTTGGTCATCGATAATAAAATTAGAAATTAGTTCTTTCTAGATATTGTATATTCTCTCATTGTCCATCCAATTATATGTTATTCATGCTAGAAGCTAGTATACACAAAATGCTTTAATATTTATTTTTTTTCCTATTTTTTAGTCATAAATTAACCTCATGGAAAGTAAATATGTTGAAGCTCAGCTTTAAATTACAGCCATCATGTCCTTGTGCTCATCACTCTTATGAATAGGCGAAATAGGTTTCCATCTGATGTAATAGCTTAGCTATCCGCTGTGGTACTAGACAACATGATGCAGCACATGAATCCAATCTCCAGCCGGAGGGTTGTCTTCATCTCTGCTGGCATGGTTGGTCTCAATCACATAAAAGGTATTTGTGAACAAGGTAAATCAAGATTCATTCTATTCATTGTGTAAACATGCTTGAACATCCCTTCCCTTATTAGAAATAATCTTTCAATTTATTAAAAGTGGCACTCCCCCTTCCAAATGCGTCATGGTTGACCACACTTTGATTGGAAATCAAATTTTGTGTTATGGAGTGGCATAAAATTTTCTTTTTATGCTATGCTAAATCACGCTTGCTTATTTTAGGCTATTTTCATACCATGCTATATAATTTTCTACATTATGAAGTGCCACATAACAATGAGAATAAATTTAAGAAGTAATGAAAATCAAGTTGGTTGTCTACGTTATTTTGAAGGGCTTAGTGGTTTCTTCTCCCCTTGAAGTTCATTGGTGAAAACCATTTATTTTTTTAATTTATTATTGTCTTTTGATGGCCCTTTCGTCCATTTGAAGATCTTTAGTTAGATCTTATTGTTTATCATCTTTTGTTTACTTGTATTTCTCTTCCCCTCTCTTCTTTTAGCTCTTGAGTACTCTTGCTTTTTTAGCCTTTGTTGACCATTTAACCCATATGCCACCCAAAAAAGGACATCTCCTATTCATTTAGGGAATATTTGGTTGGTTGAATTTCTGTTGTAGTGTAAATGGAATGAAAATATTATAATATTTTGTGTTTGACAAAATATAGTGTAAAATTTTAGTGAATTTGAATTTCACCATGTTGTTCAAAATTGTTCTATTCCAAATTTGCTAGATTTGGGAGATTTTAAAATGTATTGCAAACTGTGACCGTTGTTGCTACTTTAGTCGCTGACTCCTGCTGCCCTCCATTCATTGCTACCCATCGCTGCTGCCGCATACCATCAATTTTTGTTGTTGCCTACTTGTAGCCCGTTGGCGCCACAACACCTGCCGGCTTGTCTCTGCTATTGCTAGTTTGCCTCCCGCCTTTTTCGACCGTGCTTTACATTAATTTCATTTTTGTTTAAACTAAATACAAAAATATTAATTCTTGTACTTATTTTACACCGGACCAAACAATTCTAAAATATTCTAAATGCAATACATTTTAATTACATAACATTCATTTTTCAGCAAACCAAGCGACTAATTAATGAATACTTTAAATTAGTTGTGCCACTCATAACACAAGATCAATAAAAAAACAAGCATTGTCTTAGTACTCCACAATGCATGAAGATATAATGTAGTCTACCGTATCCTCTTCAATGCTATATTGGATAAATCTAAATTAAGTCGAGATTGAAACACATTAAACGTTAATCATAAAATTCAACCCTTCTTGTCTATCATCACCAGTATGGGCTCGGATAAAGAAATAATATTAAAATAAGCCTACTAATAAAAAGACAATACTTGACAACTTAGAATTTTTTATGTGATGCTTTTGACAAAAATACATGTTGAGATTTTCATCAAATATAGTTATCCCTTTTATTATTATAATTTTATTTGGTGTTAATATACATAATTCCTTTTTTTTTTACAGTGGGTGAAAAAAAATAATTTTCCTCTTGGTTGATATTATGACCTTGTACTTGATTAACTTTAGAAGCCAATTCCTTAGCATTCTCTTGCTCCTTGCTTTTAGTTTTTTTCTTGTCTTAATTTCTATAGTAATATGTTCCAATGCCATATCCTTTTTTTTTGTGAATTTTGTTGTTGTATTCCTTCCATGAAGTCAATACTTTTTCTGTTGATGTCATAACAACAGTAGAATACTTGGAGGTTGATGTCTTTATGCATAAGTTCACTTACAAGTTAGTAAAATACATAAACTGAAGATGCTATCTCCATAGTGTTAACTATGTGTTCTGACATTTTCGAGAAAATATTTCTTTTTTAAAGTATTCTAGATATCTATTATCGACAAGTTGAACTCATAATACATGTCAAAATGTTTTATGGAATGTGCTTTCTAAATTTTAGTTTAGCAAATATTATAATCAGTTGTCTATTCGTCCAAAATTTTGTGACCTTATCTAAGTGTAGTTCTAAGCTCAAAATTTACCTCAACAATTACAATGTTAAAGATAACTTCAATGTGCTACTTGTTAAAGTTTCCTATCTGGCTAATGGTTCTATTTTAGCGATATTGAGCATTATCGTAGCTGCTATGCATTGCGAAGTTTATAATCTATCTTTAGGATTGTTGATGATAGTATTCGTGTGATATTGTAATGTAAATAGGTTCAGCGGAAATAACCTATTAGCTTAGTTTTAGGCATGTGGAGCAGTGCCCTTGAAGATAGATTTCTGCCTCTGAGTCGTTCCCTTGTTGTAAAATGTCTCAGGGTTTTAGCTTTCAGGATTCCAGTTTTTTCATGCAAATTTGTAATGGTCACGCTTATGAATATGAGAGACTCTTTCTATGTTAGTTATCAGTCAAAGAAAGATGAGAAGAAACGATGAGAATTGGGTCATAGATTTTCAAAATATATTTTTGTGGTGTAAACCCCACTTTAAAAGAAATTACGATGTCTATTTAGTTGTATGCAGCAGTTCAAACCATTTCATTTTGTTTGGTCAGTTATGATTTGAAGGGTTAACATTTCAAATGGATGTGGTTGTTTCAGAAACAAAATCTACAGAACTGAAAAAAAAGCCAAAGCTTCTTTAGTTCTTGAATGGTCTAAAATTGGGATTTTCACTTCTTCAATGTGAGTGTAGAACATGTGCACCATGTTTGTGTGTTTCTAGTTTCTACCAATGCGAGCAAAAGAGTTGTCCTATATAAAGAGGATAATTTTTTCTTCTAATGTGTAATGTGAGACTAAACCTTTAGCTTTTGTAAAAAAGAATAAAAAAATCATGATTTTTTCTCTTTGAAATATTGACTAATTTATGAATATATGTAACAGTTGGCAGACAACTTTCTATGACTTTATCACTTTATCATAACGCTATATTTACTTCTCATGATGCAGTCATGATGTTTTTTTTTTTTTTTTTTATTTACAGAGGCATCCGACCTCCTCTGACAAGCCAACTGCTCTTGTCATTTTTATTTCTTGGGTTGACTGGGTAAGCATTTGATTGCTCTAATTCCAGTGGCTTTGGAATAAATTTCATGTGTTCAAGGCAGGTGCTGCTGTTTTCTTGTTGTCATTTACCAAGTACATCTTATTAACTTTTTTGGTTATAAGGATTTTTGGCAATCAGCTGTTGTTTACTATTGGTCTTGGATACACAAATCCAACTTATGCTGCTGCTGTTCAGCCATCAATTCCAGTTTTTACATTCATCTTGGCAGCAATTATGGGGTGAGTCTTGAATGCTTAATGTTGCATTAGTTTTTTGTGCTAATAATTCACATGGTAACTCATATCTTTATTATTAACAGTTTTTCCAATCATTAAAGGTCTTTATGCATGAAACTTGTCATTTCTTAATTTACTGCAGCGTGGAAAAATTTAATTTTCTTAGAAAGGAAGGTTGGATCAAGATTATAGGTACTTCTGTATGTGTTTCTGGTGCAGCAGTTATGCTCATTTATAGAGGTCCGGCTATATTTGGCAATGGTGTAGATGCTACGCTCAGTGAAATGATCATGGGAACTCAATCCGAGCATGTAAGACAGTTGAGACCTAATTTGTTGAAGTTTCAAATTGGTACATGGCATATTGGTGTTTTGTGCTTGATTGGGAACTGCGTCTGTATGGCTGCTTTTCTAGTTCTGCAGGTAATGGAATTCAGAACCTTTAGTTAATCTATTATTGTTAACATTATATGCTGTTATGATAGTGACTGCTGCATTATAAGTACGAATTAACCGTCATATACTACATGCATTAGTGAAGGGAGCATTGAGTTTACGAAATCCCAGATCATGATTTGAATATTGACTTGGTAAATCAAGCCATTGATCCTATGCTCTCCCTCAAACTTTTTGGACAGTGATAGATGAGCCTTTATCTATCACAAAATGATGGGGGGCATGTAAAACAATCATAGTGAGAAAAGTACTTAATGTTGAGGCCAGAGTATTTGGAACTAGCATTTTTCTGGTAGTTCTTATGAACAATTATAGATCTAAATGTTGTTCCAGCAAAATAGCTGAATGAACTATTATTTACTTGATATGTGGTGATTAGGAAAATCATTTAATCTTTGGTTGTATTTAAGGTTTGCCTTTGTGCTAAATTTAAGTTGGATAACTATTTACAAATATTTTTAATATTCACTGTAGAGAAGTTTTTTTAAGTATAAGCTCGTCCATTGATTGTCTATTCTGACATTTCAGGCTCCAGTTCTGGTGAAGTATCCTGCTACGTTATCATTAACAGCATACACATACTTCTTTGGGACAGTCATGATGGTCCTTTCAGGATTGTGTACTTCAAGAAATTCTACAGATTGGATGTTGACAAAATCAGAGATAATTGCAATACTATATTCTGTAAGTTATTGTCTAGCAGTTTATCTGGCGTTTTTAGTTATCAGCATGATTGTTCCTTTAGCTCGCATTGGTTGTTGTAAACTCTAATGTTTTTAATCCGATTAGGAGATCAAATTGGTTAACAATCCAACCTGTTTGATTTTTGGTCCAGCTGAAAAAAAAAATGTAAAAAAATCTATGAAAAAAGTTTAATAAAAATTCTTGGAATCACACCTTAGATTTTGCCTTCTTTGGTTCGAAAGGGAGAGAGTGAGGTTCTGAGTGTGTTTGTATGTGATTGAAATATGAGAACGGTGACAACTTCTTTGCTTGCTTCTTTTATCTTAAGGGGAACTAAGGGAACAGAAATGGAAACTAATTTCATCTTCTTTCTCATAAACAATGGTCAAATCGGAGAAGGGACTTATTTTTATTTGTGGCACCAAATTTCACCCTGTACCATACGTTTAAATTTAAAAGAAGGGCTTTGGATAATTAGAACTTCAAAATTTTATTAATTTTTTTTAGTACTGTCTAGATTCAAAAAAATTTGAATTATCATCTTCTCCAACTAAAAAAGATCTGAAAAGGGCCTATTGTTTTGAATTTTCCTTTCTTTTGCCATGGGACGTAAGAGAGTGGTTAGTTACATAGAGAAGGGAAAAAGAAATAAAAGATGTGACAGGGAGTGAAGAAAAGGAGATGAAAAGAAAAAGGGGAACAGATCAATTCCTTGGATTTTTTGTTTCTAGCCTTGTTAAACTATTTCAACATTGTGCAAACCTTGTGTTGTCAATGCAAGCATGGTGATGTTACGAATAAGTGAGGTAGTACCAAAAGTAAGTTCAATGGTGCCAATAAATCCTATTATTGTGAGCAAAAATTATTAATAAAGGTTTTTTGGAGTCTTTTTTTCCAAGTCTCTAATATTGTTGTTGGGTTTGTCATTATTCTCCCAAAATAAATGCAACTATGTGCATAAATTTAATGGGCTCTTTATTATAATAATGAATATATTTCTTTCTTTGGCCTTATATATGTGTGAGATAATCTCATAGAACTACATGAATTTTTTTATTCTTCTATTTTTAGTTTTCCTTAATTTTGTTTTTACTATCGCTATTTCTTTTGCTGCAATATTCTCCAACAATTAGTATCAGAGCTAACTGTAAAATTATGAGTAAATAATGTGAATAATAGTTTTTGTGATAGAAAACGGAAGATTGATAGGCTTTATTTAAAAAAGTCTCCTCAGGTCATGGGTTCGATCCCTAGTGGCGCTAGACTCTCGAATATTTATGTGTGTGTGTGCGCGTGCGTGCCGCAAGCCGTGGCCTGTTGGTTGGCGTGGTTCACTATAAATCCTCTCAGGTCACGGGTTCGATCCCCAGTGGCGCTGGGTTCTCAAATATTTAGGCACATGACACGGGCTCTCATCATGGGGCCTAGCGCATGGGAAATCGAGCCAAATACCGATTTTTTTTTTGAAATATATATATATATATATATATATATATATGTATGTATGTATTAAACATTTTAAGAAAATTTTATTTTTAGTATCTCCTATTTTAATATTTTTCATTTTTAGAAAGTAGTATTGTTGGTATGTTATAATTCTTAATTTCTTTTTTAGCATTGGGAGTTATGGTTGATTTTATGGTTTTCCAAATGCGGGAGCTTTCCCCCTCTACTTATCTTATAATCATTTTCTATGAAATTGTGAAGGAATAATTATTTTCCCCTCCCAAAACATGCATGGTATTAGAGCCAGCTATCTACTTCGAATCTGCGATAATGTCTGTCGATTAAGTCATTTGTGAGCGAGAAGCCTTCGCTTTGCTCTTGCCCCTCCCGGGTTTGCCCAATACCATTATCCTCGTGACTGACCCCTTGCTAGTCCCCATTAGAGCTAGTTGGGAAGACAACGACAGTATTGCGGCTTTCAGAGACCTGACGTTCCATTATTCGAGGCTCCAAATCCGATCGCCTTTCTTTGTGCTTCCTCTGGCGTCGAAAACTTGATTAAAATTGCATAGGTCGAGCCCATATCTGAACCAGTGCGCGTTTCTTTTTTACTCGAGGTAGCCACAACATATATGCTGCTCTTCTCAGATTTTGAGGATGTACAAATCGACAATATAATGAGAGTTTAAAGAAAGTATACCATATCGACCATTTCTAGTACTTCTGAAACTACCTCACCTCACTCCTACAGCTCATCTCATGGTCGTATCGACTGAGTATTTTGCTCAAAATTTATCACATTTCCTCTTAGTTATAAAATTTAATGAACACAATTACCTCGATTAGGCTCAATCCATAAATTTGGCGATTCACGAGAGATATTGACTCTGAAAAAATGACAGTTCAAAAATTCTTCGGCAATGATGTGGCTCATGAACTCCATGGAACTTACCATAAGAAAGCATTATCTATTCCTTCCCACTGCTTGAGGCTTTTGGGAGGTCGTTCGAGATCTTTATTCCGATATAGAAAATTCTTCACTCAACTTTGAAAATCCAAACAAAATGACCATAATATTATTACGTATTATAACAAGTTTGTAATATTATGACAGGAGCTTGATCAATGCTATGATGATATTTGGGTGGATTCCAATGATTATGCTCGCCACAATTAGAGAGAGAAAAACAATCAAGTGTACACGCTCTTAACCGACTTTAATCAATGAATTGTCATCGCGATGATCTCTATGTTCTCAATCTATCTTGTAACTTGTACATTAAAATTATTGCTGACCATCAATGTCAAACTAATTTTTGTTCTTGTTGTTGTGAGATTTAGGAATTAAACATGGAGAGGATGGTTGACAATGCAAAGGAAATGGATAGACTATTATTTTGACAATAAAATTGACTCGAATAGACAATATCAAAGTACTGGTTTAATTTTTTTTTTGTTTCCAAGATAATGATATAAGTTAGGTCATCCTAATTTTTAGTATCTAAAATATCTAACATTTGATTTCAGTTACTTGGGAGACGAAACGATGAGTTGAAGGAGAAGAAACGAGGAAATCGAAGGAAAAGAGAAGAGGAATCAAACAGACGAGAAACCATAGAGGGAGGAGAGGAAGCCGGAGAGTTGGAATTCAAAGAGGTGAATTTACCTATAAAATCGTCGCATGCGCGTCGAGAGAAGACGCCACTGCTTATATGAGAGTCGAATTGTGAGACTTGATTCCGTGCTGCCGAGTCGAAGGAGAGGTAGCCACTGTGCTAGGTCGAGTCGAGCCAGCAACGCCGTGCTTGCAAGCAAAAAGGAGGAGGTGACGTTTTTGTCTATGTAATAATCAATTTGTGAAAGATCGAAGAAAATTTTTGGCGACCTAAATTGTATCTCAATTTTTGGATCCATTGAATTTCAATCAAAATAATTTTATAAAATTTTACGCGTTAAATCGAATAATTCGATAGAAAATATTATATATTAATTATGAATAGATTGAGAGGTATAAAATTTTAAAATTATAATTTTTTTAAATTAATTAAAATTAATTAATTTATAATCCTACGTCCAAGTGATATTCCTTCGCCTTTTAATCCTTCGTTTAGGCCCTGTTTGGCGGAGCGGCACCGCAGCAACGTGGCAGCTTGACGAGATTAGGAGGCGTTTGGCGCAGCGTTGCAACAACGTCGTCCCACGATTTCGATTGAACACCGAACGCGGGCAGTAACTCGCTTCCCATCTTTGTCACTTGGTTTTTTACCCCGTTTCCCCACCAGAAACATTTCGCCTCTGTGAAAGCAAAACTACTCGCGATCTCTCCCCTCTCCTTCTCTTCTCCGACCGACTTCCTCCTGTTTTCCGACCGGCTTCCTCTTCTCTGACAAAACCGTCCAAAACAAATCCGTTTCGTGGCAAAAAAGAATTGCAGGCACAAAACACTCCCCTCTCCTCTTTTCAGAAGGTCCTCCTCCTCTCACGCAAGCCATTTTCTCGTCCTTGAAGTGGCGGTAAGAAGCGTTTTTATTTGTTTTGGATGCTCTGGATTTGTATGCCCTGTTTCTGCTTTTGCCCTAATCTTCTCAAATAATTTTTTGTGGTTTATTTACTTCGCTGTTCTTCGAGCACCCAACATCCCTACCATTTTTGGATGAGTTAAGGGTCTGTTGTTGGATTAGTATTGAAGCAGACGAATGAACTCCGTACTTTTTGGTGTTAGATTTACTAATATGTAAGAATCAGATGGCATATATGTAATGCTCCCAAAAAAAAAACACTTTCCAACTCAAATATTGTGTTATCGATCAATAATGCCACTCTCAAAACGTGTAAACACATATGATGGGTTTGTTCAATGCTCATGATCACCTCTACAACTGTTTAGATTACTTAAAAAAAACAGACATTTGGAGAGTTGTTCAATGCTCTTGATCACTTCTTTTTTCATTTTGCAAAAAAGAGAGGAAAATGAGTAAAAAAAAAGAGCAAAATGCTGTGATCTTTTTTTATTGTTGGGAAACAATGTAGATGAGCTCATTGCATGAAGAATAATGATCTCTTCTATTCTTGGGAAACAAAGTAGAAGCTACTGTAAGTTCCTTACCCTTTCAATCTCCATATTTTTCAATGCATAATGCCAATTTATAAGTGGCTCAATGACATCCTTTTTCAATTTTGATCAAGAACATTAGCATATGCATTATTAAGAACATTAGCTTTTGATTGCAAATTGGTTCAATTCAACATATTGTTGTTATTCTCTTGTACAACGAAAGGGATTTTTTGTGCATGTTTCCTGTGGCTATAACTATGTTTCCTGTGGTGTTTATTTGACAATTTAGGATGACTTAAAAAATTTTAAGCAACCATTGCTGCCATTTCCAATGAGATTTATACATAATGATCAGTGGGGGAATTTTTTCGGTGCTATTCGTATATCAATGACCATCTTTGTGCCTTCAGTTACGAGAAATTTGCTTGAGTCATTGTTTGGTGTATTTATTCATCTCATTGCATCTATAATATTAAACTGGGTTTATTAATAACAACAA